ATTAATAAGATAAGTGGATCAAAAATACTCTTTTATTTTGTTATTTCGGCAAGAGGGATGCACAGCAGAGGAATGGGAGGGGAAAGAGGGGGATAAACTTTTAAAGACTGTTCAAATTCTACTTTTGGCTTCTTCGTTTCGCCACCATTGTTATTGTTTATTTATTTATTTGTTTGTTTGTTTATTTATTTATTTGTGTATCAGTTGTTCTCTTCATTTTTTTTTCTTCTTTGCTTGTTTTTCACTCTGTTCCCTGTTTTACAAATACGTTTTCACCTGTTCGAAGATGGAGAAGACTGATGGTGGGTGGAGGACTGAATGAAATTTCTGGAGGTTCAAAAGCAGGAGGGAGAAAGGGGCAACAAAAAAAAAAATACCGTTCTGTTTATTTATTTGTTCAATAAATTCAAATTAAGAGGAAAAAAAACAGACAATAATAATTATAATAATTATAATAAAACTGAGCGAATTATTTTGTAAAAATTCACTCATTAGTTCATATATTAGGTGAGAAAGGTTTTTTTTATTCTGAGATCACAGTTCGTCCATTTGTCCACAAGATCCAAGGAGCTTTTTATAAATTGTTGAAGCAATAAAACGTGGGTACGAGTCGCGCTGCATTAAAGTATATATCTGATTCTGCGCTTCATCAAATATCCGTGCTGATGGACGTACCATGTTAGCGTTGATAATCTCCCTTACTCGTGAATCCAATGATACCTCTTTTGGAGATAATATTGATATGAAATCCTCGTAAATTATTCTAGCCTAGAAATACTTTGGCCTAAGCAAACTGAAGAGATGTTTGTACTAAAAGTAATACCGGTAGTTCCGGTGAAACTTGAACTGGGTGCCACCTCTCCTGTTTTGTTACCTAAACGAGGTTTGGAAAGACTGTTCAAAACTGTGAGAACCGAAAATGACAAGTATTTACTAACACTATTTGCAGCATTTTTTGCCCTATTCTGGTTACCCTCACTGCGCGTTGTTAGACACCGTTTCTGCTGCGAGCATAAAATCAAAGAAATCAAACTACAGTTCTTGATTTGGTTTTTTCTTTTTTCTTTTCGGAAATGCTTCAATCATTAAAGGTCCTCTAATTACTGGCCAAATTATTCACATTATTTGAATTTACTATTACTATTACTGTTCTTTTTTGTTTAAAGCTTACATTCAAAAAAAAAA